CAAGGTTAATGAAAGATATGGGTTATGGGAAGGAATACAAGTATAATCCGAACTATGTTGATGGAAAAGTCGCCCAGGTCTATCTTCCTGAAAAGCTACTTGGCAAAAAATTTTTAGAAGATCGCGATCTTGGGCTTCAGGTAGATGCAGACCTTTCTGATAGCGTTGAATACAGTGGCGGTTGAACTTCGAGAAACTCCGGATATTTTGTTTGCGAACTTTGTTTATGTCCTTAGGACTGACATTTCGCAGCCCGTATCCGGCCGGACATCTCTACGCAATTCCCCATACTCTTATTAATCTGCAATCTGATCTTGCCAGTTGTGGCTGAGGTAACCTCTTGCAGGGTTCTACGGCTGTCAAGTCCTCACTAGGACGCGGCCACTGGAACACAGTTCACATCTCCTACTCTACCCCATTTGTCTCCGCTCATTGACCAACAATCGCTGGGCGAGCCACAAACGTATTCATCAAGCTTGACTTGGGTGGGTTTGCGCGAGGGCAAACGTCTTACCCGCCTACGTTCGTCGCGTGTCAAAAGCCGCTGCAAGCAGCCATTCCTTCTCTCGGGAGATATATTCGCCGCATGTTAGGGTGTCTATTACGCTCTATTGTTCCGGCCATATTCATGTTTCAAATATTATTAACTCCTGATTCCTCAGTGCCTTGAGAACTGATAAACGTAGAGTGTTTGAGTTTTATTTTTACTTTGTTGATGTTATAAAAATGTTATATCATGGAGCGCAATATGAGCAGATTCAACGGTTTTCATCCTTCGCCCTACTCCCACGCCATTTTGTCCCCCAACTTCCCTCGTGCCCTGACACCCCGTATCATACACTCCTCCCATAGCGGAGTGAGTAAATCTGGGGCCATTGTACCTATTATATTATATTATATCTCTTTTAAACTTTGTTCCCAATAGTTTGGCGACCCGTGATCTATGTCCGCAAAAGTCCCAATCACGATGACCTACTACTGCCCAACGGTACCTAGATTGCGAGTTCGCATTCACATCCTCCTGAAGTGGACATATATAGGTCATATCATCCCCCATTGGTACAACGCAGCATCTTCTTGGATACACCCACTCGGGTAAAAATCGCGACATAACATGCCCAGGTGGCCGCCAGAAATACATCCGGGTACAATTGTAATGGTTCCTAACTACCGCTGCGGGTCTCCTGGTGAGATTCCACCTAACATTCATTCTAACTGGAAATACCATACTAACTATCAACTATAGGACACCAAACAGGCCCGAGTCTTCAATCTTCATCGCAGGATGTTCGTTTGTTCTTTGTAACCGTCAATCCCTCGACGAAAGCATCAATGGCTCTGTTACTTATCAAAGGCCCCGAGACAGGAAGAAGACAGACGACGCAAACACATGGTAAAAGAGGAAAGGGATAAAAATACTCTCTCACAACTTTTCACGTACCATGGATCATCCGACTACCGCAAAGGAGCGCTTTCTAACGAAGCCTCCTCGTGAGCCCTTCGTACCCTGGTTAAAGGATACCATGTTCTCCCTCCTTCAGCAAACCAGCTAAGCGAATTGTCCCTACTGTCGCACAGAGAGCTGCCAGTCATCATTCCGGTGATAAGGGTCATGATTCGCTTTCGTGTGTCCGAGTCGAACATACGGATAAATAATAGCTCAGACTTTGCACTAGAGCTCTTGGTCGATGTATATTTTAAATCAAACGAGTTTACTCGCGAACTTGAGGCTGGTATTTGTGGGTCCAACGACCCCTAGCATCTGGTTCTATAGCTTCGACCGTATCAATCCCCCCCTTTAAACCACCAAATGTGTACACGACCTCACTTGATTAAAGACAGCAAGATAAGTATGAAATACGCTGACCTTCGGTTGAGCTCATGCCCTTTGGTTACCTATCCATTCACCAGTCCCGGCTGTGCCCGCAGCCATGCCGACATTCGTCTAATAGATAGTACTAGTATGCATACCTACCCCATTTGCCGATCCATTTCCCACTTACTTCTAATGAGTTGTCTTTCTTTCTCTTCGACTAGTATATTGGTTTTATTATTTCCCACTTACAGACCCTGCGTCTCCGCCAGGTTCTACACTACATTGCCTCCATTTCCATTAATCGTACCACCCTTACCCATTTTCCATTCCATGCTGCACGGTTTAACGCTTGACCACAAAAGTTTGTGTACTATGGCAAATATCGGTAATTTGGTATATTCAGGTAGGAGCACGAGTACCTGGATGTCATTTCCTCGGTTTACTGAGTGGTGTTTCCTCATGTCTTAAATGCATAACATTCAAGTTCCTTTGCATACTCGTATCAATTGTGTTCAGGGAGCGGCCGAAAGAAGTCGCACAGAAAATAGATGGGCAGTATTCAGGACCGGAGGAAATGCCCTGATTTTAATGCATTACTTATACTTTATTTAATTATTACTTTACCAACTGGAAATAGATAGCACTCAAGCCTTCGTGATATCTCCGACGACGTCTTGATCGCCACGTCACGTGCACTCGCGTTTCCCCCGGCTTGCAGCTTGAGATGCGCAAAACCAAAAGTTCAAGTTATCTTCTAGAATTCCAAAACCACGTCAACAAACCTACATCAATCAATATATCTGCAGAAGTTCCCCAAACACTCCCATTTTTCATGGTGTCTGTTCAGTCTTCAACCACCTTAAATCCTCACCGCCATCTACCAAAGGAGTAAATACCAATTAGCTCTAGATGGCCTCGTCTTCCGCACATCCTTCGTTCCCGCCGCGCTCATCCTACGTTGGTGGGAAACTACCCGACAGATCTGCTCTGAACAATAACCACCTCGCATTTGGCGCTTCAGTTCTCTCACGACGGGATCGGGGAGACTTTGCAGGAGGGGATGGCGGGCTGGCGAAATCAGCGCCTGCCCCGCCAGCACATGCACAACAAAACCCGCACCAGCATCAACAACCCCATAACAACCCGCTCAACGACTTGACGGAAGAACAACGGGAAGAAATCAACGAAGCTGTAAGCAACGAAAACTCCTACAAACTATATATACATATAAATCTCCTTCTTGCCCGCGAAAAACCACCCATCTCCACTCCAACCCACTAACCAGCCACACAGTTCACCCTCTTCGACCTAGACCGCGACCGCCATCTAGATTACCATGAGCTCCGCGTCGCACTCCGCGCACTGGGCTTCACCCTCTCCAAACCTGACCTCATCTCTCTCTTAACAACCTACGGTGTCCCTCGCAATGCGCCACAATCATCGCAAGTACCGCCGTCGCAACAACAGCAGCGGGCGGCGGCGGCGGCGGGGCAGCGTGGAGCCAACCAGCCAGAACAGCCCCCGCATCCATCCAGCCTCCTCATGCCCCTTTCTGCTTTCCAGACACTCACTGCGCGCAAGATCCTGGAGCGTGACCCGCGCGAGGAGATTCTCAGAGCCTTCGAGCTGTTTGATGAAGGGGGAAAGGGGTTTATTGATCTGGAGGACTTGAGGCGCGTGGCGAGGGAGCTAGGGGAGACGGGCTTGGAGGAAGAGGAGCTGAGGGCTATGATTGAGGAGTTTGATTTGGAAGGAGTCGGAGGGGTGACGAGGGAGGGGTTTGTGGGGATTTGTTTGCAGTGAACATATTTGTTTTTCCTTTCTTTTGTTGGGTTCTTCGTTCATTCTACTCTTCGCCTTTTCTTTGCGTCTTGCTATGTATGTATGGTTTTGGATGAGGAGTTTATGTCTTGTCTTGTCTTGTCTTGGTCTTCTTTTTATTCAATTTTTATCGTATCTGTTTTGGCCTGTCCGCACCTAGCGTTTACTTACCTGCCCTTCCTCCCACGTCTTTCCTCTGATACGTTGGTTTGCTTGTGTGTTGTTTATATATCGCCCCGGCCCTACCTATCTCATACCGGAACCCCCCCCTTCTCTCTATGTTATAATTATACATCCATCGCAAAGCTTCTTCATCTCTATCGCAGTAAATAGGAGCCGGGCAGTATCTGGCGCATTGGCAGGTACTAATTATGGTTATGATTATACCACAGGCGTAGTTTAGAAAAATGGATACACATCCATTTGTTGGCGCCGGCAATACACGCGGCTGCGAATAAAAGAACTACTCGAATGAGGATCCAAGAAACAGGAGAATGTTAGAAAAGGATAGATAGATGGTTGAAGACGCACGAAGAGGCAAAGAAGAAGAAGAAGAAGAAGAAGAAGGCAAGGAAAGAGAAAACCGATTGGCACCCAATAAATACCAAAGAGCTAGAAGAGTACCGTGTTGGAAGTTTCAATTTTATTGTTTCACGCTATACCACTGTGAATTGTAGATTGGACACACAATATACCAGAGAAAATAAATGAATCAATGAATGAATGAACAGATGAATAGCAATCTACATTCCTTCCAAAACGACCCCGGAGACTGGCATGGGTATATGTATATATTGTTGGCATTGCCGCTATCAAGCCTGTGGGACTATATTCATGAGATAGCTGGTGCACTCCACAACTCCTCTCAACTACTAACATTGACAAAATCAACACATACATCTATATATATGACCACCTTAACGGCGCATTTCTCTTTCTCGAATCCAACCACGTCCATCCAAATGGGTACTTCCAAAACAAACAAACAAACAAACAAAAAGTATGAACGAACCGAACGCAGAACAACAGCAGAAATGAGCATCTTGAATAGAAAAAGATAATAAAAACAAAAACAAAGACGAAAAAGAAAAAACTATGGATTTTTCAAAATGCACGTGCTACGATGCTTGTTACATATATGTGATGTGAAAACGGGTATTCATATCATGCGCCC